TAACAAAGATTTTGGCGCGGCATCAGCTCTCGTTGCCAGATCAGGTGAGCGATCATAGGTGGAAAATGAGCTGGCGCCACTCCAGAATTCACGTCTCGACCCGCCCTATCGATTCGGTTGTTGAGGCTATATCATCCTGTGTGTTTCCAAAAACGGTGCTAACGTATTTGGTGGGGGGAAGCTCGCCGCGAGTGATGACTCATCTGCTCTTCTATGCTCCCTCCGCGGCGAAATAGTATCTTGCGTGGCTGGTTGAGGCCGGGGAGGACTTCTTCGAGGTAACATAACAGTACTATGTTTAGGACATGAACATGAACCACCCTAGGATGCTATTTTGGAAAAGTAAAACTCTGAAAAATACGAAAAGAATTGTAGGCTAGAAAATTGAATTTTGAGCGGTTTCTTCATAGCAAAATCAAAAGGCATTTCTGTTTATTTATTCACTAGCACTCGAGATGAATGACCAGTATTCGTTTCTTGTGGCCCTTAAGAGGGCCGTTGGGTTAGTCATGCTCAGCGGATGGGATACTGGATCGAGATGAGCCGCCACAGTTCGTACAGCAGATGTTCGCTGTCGTATTGCCACTTCCAGAGAACTTCGATGAAATGGTCATCCCAAAGGTCGCCTTTGAGACCATGCCGTCGTCGAATCTTCTCCTTCAGATGTGACCACATGCACTCGATGCGCTGGGTGTGGACTCCCGTGGCCGGATCAACGAAGTTGGCGCTGTGGTTGACCACTTCGTGGTTATATCCTAGATTGGCGAGGTTGTTGTATCCGCCCCACATGTCGGTTCGAATGGTGCCTCCAGGACGAACGTATTTCCGGATTATCGCCTCCAGAGTAGCAGCGTCGCGCTTGTCGACGATCTCTACAAAGAAGAGCTTCGTACCGTCCTGGATCCCACCGACAAGCCAATCCTTCCGAACGATCCGGCCGACGTTGTACTTGCGACGAACGATGTTGGTTTCGTCCACTTGTACGATGGTATTTGGTCCGCCCAGCTGCACCACGTTGTTAGTGTAGAACTGTACGAGCACATCTCGAAACCACTGACTCCATTGCAGGATGGTGTTCTCCTGCACCTCGAGCGTTCGAGCCATCTCCTTCGCCGTTCCGAGGTCGTAAGCGAATAGGTAGCTGGCCAGAAAGATCTTCTTTCGATCACCACGTAAGGACTCGAAAAATGTGCCCTTGAGGTAACCGATCTTCCTCTCCACACCAGGTCGCCGGCACGAGCGAAGATTGCACTCGAACTTCCATCTTGTATCCCCTTGCTCCCCCTGCTTGGTGACCTTCCTTGGGTTTCCACAGTTTGGACATGGGCGATTCTTCCACAGAAGTCCTCGATCGGCGAGCCAGTCGTCGAACTCCTCCTTCGTCATCGCAGCCAACTGTGGCCAAGTTGATATGAGCGTGAAATCACGCAGCGATAGGAGATTAGCAGCAGAAGCCATGCTCCACAAGTAGAGTAACTTCGCAATCGGTATATGCACTTCGCCAATCTTCTCGATGCCCGTCTATTTCCCGCTCTTAATATGCCGGGAACCATCTGTGGGCTGTTTCAAACATATTCCCGGCGAATCTCATTTGTTTTATCCTGATTTGGCTGCTAGTTTCCCGCTTCAAGTCTGCCGGGTACCATGTATGAGCTATTTCGAACACTATCTACCGCGGAGGGAGCGCAGATGAGTCATCGCTCGCAACGAGCAGAGCAGATGAGTCATCACTCGCCGCGAGCCGAGTGCCCCCCCCCCGCAAATACGTTAGCACCCTTCTTTTATGTTATTGAACGGGTTTTCAAGTAGTGTCTTAGATGTGATCTCGTTATTATCGAGAACCATCTCTGACTCTATTCTGAAGCTCGAAGTCGCCTGTGAAGAAAATGTGAAGAAGTGAAGAAAATCAGAAGGAAAAAAATGTTTTCTAGGGGAATTTCAAGCTAAATTCATGCAAATTGTGATACAATTTTAGTAAGAATACTCACCTTTAACGATTGAAGCCGAAAGTCGAAAAATCTCAGCTTTTTCAAGCTGAATGTAGAAAAAATACTGCGAAAGTGCCGCAAAATCAGCTGCTGAGCAATTATCGATCGGCGAGAGTCCAGAGCGGGAGAGTGGGTAGATTGTGCGGCGGCGTGCGTTAGAGCGCAGAGTCAGTGTCAGAGACGCAGGGGCAAGGTTATTGCGGCTTTCGATCAACAGGCAAATATCGGGCCGCTAGCCAGCGTGGCCTTAGGACCGCCCCACCGTCCGCTGAGAACTGCACTGTATTTAGTGCCTGACGTGTAGAACATGTGCCCGTAATAGGCGAAAAGCTGGAAGTCGTGAGGCCACAGG